GGTCACATCCGAACGCGACCGTTCCAAATGTGTAAACCAGCCTTAAAGGGACACTGACACCCCCCAAAACTTTTTTTTTATTTTTTGCCAGGCGCTTCATTATGGTGTTGGAGGACTACCTAATTAATATTTTGCAACAGAGTAGCGCATTTTTTTAATAAAGCCAAAAGACGCAACTGCTCGAAACCGAAACCGAAACCCCACGGAGGTCGGAGAAGTGGAGAGAAGAGAGTGAGTGGCGGAAGTCACGTGGCTTCACCCGACCGTGCGTTTTTTTTGTTTTTTTGTTTGTTTTTTCTTCTCTCCGTAGCAGACGACACGACATGCGGCGTGCGATGCGGCGTGCGGGAACTGCTCGCCGTGCGATTCTTTTGCAGTTATGTTTGTTCCGCTCGTTGTTCTGTACTCCAAGATGAGTTGTTTTGTACATTGAGGAGTCGGAGATGAGTAGTGAGTGCCCCTGGTGAATTTCCATGATCGGCTCCGAAAAGAATACACCCAAGATGTTGCGTGAAGAGCTGGCTGGGGGGATCGGTGGCCGAGTGGTCTAGCGCACACCAGCTCGGAGGACGTGGAGCGAAAGCTCGCGCTGCAGAACCCTGGGATCCTGGGCTCAATCCCCACCCCTGCCCGTTTCGATCTGGATGAGCATCGTACCGGCGTGCGGTCGTGTATCACTACTGCGTGGTGCACGTTAAAGACCCCAGGTTAGCGGTTGTACCGCACTGGTTAAATTGCTCATCTACAGCTGAGACACCAGACGCCCACTGAGGCAGACTAACTTCCGGCTGTATAAACATACACACAATTTTTTTTTTTTTTGAAGAGCTGGTTTACATGTCCTGCATCCGAAAAAAAGTGGCATTGTGCGACAGAGTTTCTGAAAGATCAACGGGATCGGGACCAATGGCTGGCTGCAATTCCTGTAGAACATATACGGGCACCTCGGAAAGCGGGTGGATTTATATGCTCCTTGCATTTTGTGGAAAGTAATTACATTGAGTTCGCAGGTGTCAAAACGGAAATCCCATACCATTTAATTCAGCGAAGTATCGTCCACAACATTTGTCAGTTATTTTTTTTTTTGTTTGGTTCTTCAGTGATGATTGTAAAAAAAAAAGACAAAGATATGTAAACATCGAAAAACGATTGAAAAAAAAGTAAAGGTTCACGGGGGATCGAACCCGGTCCTACCGCGTGTGATCCGGACGTCGTCCCACTGAACTACTGGGGCATCTTTTTTGTGGTGGATCTCTTACCTTAGTAATAATTCAGCCGGTAAACTGTAAGTTGGAAAGTTTGCTGTTGATTTTTCTCTAGCAAAAGCACTCCCGGGTCGAAGTCGGGAAGCACCACGCTTCGGGGACATTCGCACATAGTAAAGAAATCGTACGCGTGCATATTCAACTCGAAGTAGACACGTCGTGCTTGACGTTTGCGCAAACGATGTCTTCAGCCACGAGAAGGGAGTGACGGCTCGGCGACGTCTTCTTGCAAATCGGCTTGGTGGCCGGGCGTGTCGTACGGGATGAATACCAATTCTTTTGATCAGTCCCAAATTTCTCTTTTAAAGGTAGACAGAATTCGCCGGTACCGCGAACGACAGTTCTAAAATAGAGGTCCCACGCCCGTCGTCCGCTGCCATCGCCGTCCCCGCGAGTCCCACGATACGCGAAACGACGAACGCACAGAATGCTTCCGGTTGTCTGTGGAACTTTTTTTTTTCAATCAACGTATTTACAGCTTTTTAGAAGCCGCAAAAAATGGGTTTCATATTTTTTTCTATTTTTAATATTGAGTGTGTGCCTTCAGTGACCCACGACTCTGATTAAATCTGGTGGTCGCATCGATACCTTAGAAAACGGCCCGTGACCGCGAAAAAGAGAGTGAGCGAGACTCGAACCGGCCAGTTCTTGATCGGCGGTTTTCAGGCGGAAAGAAACCGAATTTCGAGCCGCAAATTTTGTTCTGGGTAGTTGAGCTCTCATATGTCACGTACAACTAAAAACCTCGGCGAGCATAAATACCCTGTCAGTGTCCCTTTAAAAGGCCCCTGAAAAGAAAAAAAAAAGTTTTTTTTAAACAGTCTGGTTTGGACACGCGTGTCAAAAAATAATTTTTACGCGAAAAAAAAATTTTTTTAGAGCAATATTGGCTGTGCCAGACACAATTTAGTCGGTAGTCACCTCCTTTCCACTTCTCTCTCTCGGCATTTCGGGCGCGTGGAGGAGAGGTACTCCCCGCCCCTTCGTAGTGGATCGGCTTGGCTGCTTGGCTGCGCCCCGTACGAGAGCCATCGCTACTTCCTGTATCTGCCGGTCGCACGCCGTACCACGTCGTACCGTGAACGTACCGTGGTCACCGTGGTGCCGTGGTCGTGCAGACCAGACAGTACATAGTCGTCGCAATGGACCCTGACCTGAAGCGTCGGTTGCTTCAACGCTGCCAGGAATTGGGCCTTCGCCCGTACGAGGACACGCCTCGCCAGCCGGAAGGCGTCCGCGCCGATCGCCGCGAGACAACCGCGCGCGAAGAATCTGCCGCGGAAGGCGGCGAAGCGGGTGCCTCGACGAGCTCGTCCGAGCCGCACGACCCTTCAAGCCGCCGCGAGGACACGCAGTGGTAACTGATATTTTTTTATTAAACGGTGAGTGCGGTGTCGCGTGCCTTCACTAATCAGCCACTAACTGTCCCTTTGGGTACCGTAACTGGCGAGGGTGGCGATAAATGTGTTATGCTGGTATTGACTGGCACGATATTGTATGCTACAAGGTGCAGTTGCGGCCACTGCGTTGTGATGCCCACGACGCGAGAGTGCCTGTGCTGTCAAGAGGTCAGCCAGGTCACCGCCAAGGCCGGCAACAAGTGCATCACGCGCCACAAAGACTTTTTTGGTGCCATCCTGAACCCCGTCGTCCTCCAGATTGCTTATGGCATGAGGGCAATGGAGCTGCACGACGGGGAACTCCTCAGGCAGAGAACGACCCATAAGTAAGGTTGAATATGCAGAATGTAGGCCTGCATGAATGTTTTTATCTGCAAGTTTGGCCTAGTCTAATCTGCTGGTTGATATTCAGTTGACTAATTCTCCCCGAGATCGCGTAATTTTGTGACAATTTTATGCATGCATACTTCTCTTCCTTCCAACAGGAAATACAGGTATGTGGCATACCGTCAGTTCTCCAGGTGGATATGGCAGCGGCTTGGCAAAGGCAACAGGAAAGTCCTGCCCTCCTGTGTCATCCAAGCCATCCGAACTGCCTATCCGTCTGAAGTATATCGGGGGTTTGCGTATCCCGCTCTGTAAACGTATACAGAGCACAAGCTCTTCTGCTTCATGCACACAGGGAGTTATAATGTCAGTGCACCGAGAACTTGTTGGCTTATTGAAGAAAATAGTGGGTAGACCTCTAAGCATCTAGCATTGAGGTCTACCCACTGTTCTTTCTGACAAAGCCAATCTGAGCTCGGCGCCGTCCTCACGTCACCGTAACTCATGCCCAAGAAGCAGGCGACTTTCTTTCCGCGTTGGTTCCGCTAGGATCTACTGGACGACCTATTCCTACTGGACCATAACCCAATACACCGAATACAGATAAAAAACCTTTATTGCAATTTTCGCTAGGGCTAGCCACAGTTAATTTTTAAACTTTTACTGCACTAGCAAGTTATCAAACCCCCATGAAGGTTTGCCTCCCCCTAAGCACGGTTCATAGACCGCATTTCCCCCTCCACTAAGCCCGCAACAAAGAAGCTGCTACTGTGCCTGCATGCCATTGGTGTCTTCCGCTGGACTTGTACTCCAGTCATGTTACTGTACCTTCAGAGTGAACTGGTGTATTTTACGCAACAGGAATGCAGTGCTGCTGTGCTGAGGCCTATAGAAATAAAAGAAGTTGCAAGCTGATCGTTTTGTGACGTATTCTTTATTATCAAAATGAAAATGTTTTGCATATATGCTGGGGAAGGGGTGTTTAGTGTATAAAAAGGGAGGTTGTTTTAGTAAAGCCTCAGAATATTGGCCTCTGCATTGTAGGCTCCATTGCATAGTGGTCTATTGTTTCATCACTGGCACTGGGAGGGTTGTTTTTTTTTTGTTTTTTTTTTTTGGGGGGGGGGGATGTTGGGGATGTGAGAACATGCATAGTATAGCCACTCAAACTAGAGACAAAACAAGGGCAGGCACAAGAACATACAAATAATCAGTCACAGCTTATGTGCATGGAAGAAAAGTAATCGTAGAGAGAACCGCCTGGGAACTTGGGGTCTGCCTGCGACATAAAAAAAGGCACACACTGGCAGCAAACAAGAACTTACCTCTGCTGTAAAGAAAGCAACAAATTATTCGAATAAACGTGACTAGACAGAAAGCGAGGCAAGAATGCATGCTGAAGAGACTGGCCGCCCTTGAGCTCCAAGGGAACGTTCAGGTTCCGAGCGTGCACCTGCAGCTTGCAGGGATAAAAAATATGCTTCGTTATCTTCCCTACCTCATGGCCAGTGACTAACGTCTGGCAGCGGGGAGGAGAGTCCTCTTGTGAACCTGGGGTCTGCCTGCGACATAAAAAAAGACACACACAGGCAGCAAACAAGAACTTACCTCTGCTGTAAAGAAAGCAACAATGCAACAAATTATTCGAATAAACGTGACTAGACAGTAAGCGAGGCAACAATGCATGCTGAAGAGACTGGCCGCCCTTGAGCTCCAAGGGAACGTTCAGGTTCCGAGCGTGCACCTGCAGCTTGCAGGGATAAAAAATATGCTTCGTTATCTTCCCTACCTCATGGCCAGTGACTAACGGCTGGCAGCGGGGAGGAGAGCCCTCTTGTGAACCTGGGGTCTGCCTGCGACATAAAAAAAGACACACACAGGCAGCAAACAAGAACTTACCTCTGCTGTAAAGAAAGCAACGAAGTAACAATTTATTTGAATAAATACGACTGACAGTGACACCAAAAAAAGGCATGCTACAAACCTTGCCTTGCAAAGTTGGGTCGCTTCCTCTACTTCAGTGAAAACATGTTACACAGACAGACAATACACTCATGCAACTTGCAGGAAAAAGAAAATCTGCTTCATCCGTAGCATACCTTATGCCATAAACAAGTAACTGGTTGCAGTGAAGAGAGTGCCGTAGGTGGTTCAGATGAGCTTCTGAGATGATCTGCAGTGCAAATTTCAGTGTGAGCTACACCACACAATAGCCAGCAGCCACCGACTATTGTGGAAGGCAAAAAACTCGAGGTACACCTAAGCATTTCTTACGAGTTGTAAATGCGAAAGCATGCAAGCCGCTCCCTTTGTCGTCTGCTGCGTACTGAAAAAACTCGATCTTAGTCTTTCTTGTACAGTTATCGCACATTACGCCATCCTAATAAACATTGTCATCTTCTTGCTTGGCTTTTGTTCAAACATGGCTTACGGCTCGTTCCTCGCGCCAAAGTTCTATCACGTACTAGCGCGCGCGCGCTTCGGGAACTCGGAGGCCATGGATCTCGGAGGCCGCAGCGGCCAATGGGAGCTCCGTCGACGCACGCCAGTCAATGTAACCGAAGGCGAATCGCTCTTATTGGGGTCGCGGCAGAAACTAGGAGCCGTTTTTGCGTTTCGGTCAGCTCGCTCCATGAGACCAGTTAATGCTTTCGCATTAAAACACAAAACAATCATCTGTGCCTTCACTTCGATGAAGGGGGGGCTACGCTTTTGTTATATTTTTGCTGTTAATCAAGCAGCCACGCTACCAGAAATGTTCACTACTCGTGTGAACATACCCGGCATGAGAGGCAAACCGGGTTCGTCTTGCCACGATCAGCTCGCTCTTGGGGGGCCTTGGATAGCTGGCACACATGGGCGGCGGATGTTCCGGTGGATTCGCAGCGACGGCCTCCTTCAAGGTGGGCCATTTCCCCAGGCAGACCATTAACTCGTCCAGGAGCTCATCACGGTACTCTGCAAGTCGATATCTCGTGTCACGGTTTTGTCACCCACTGTTTCCACAATAACATACGAAAAGTTGCGTCGGCTGGCTTCGGGCGTGCCGTTGAGTGGCCCTTCCGTGATCTGGGTGTTGCGATCTTGAAGCAAAGCTCCCCTTCCCTGGTTGTGGCTTGCTCACGCCCGACATTTTCGTTGAAATGAAGCACAGCCACCAAGGTCCTACAATAAAGACAGACACAGCATGGGGCCGAATTAACGCAAGAGTATAAGGTTTCAACAGGGCACAAATTTCATACACTAAATGGAGTAGCACATTCAAATTTGAAAAGCTAGTCCAAACTTGATGATAAATTATGAAGCCTTGTTTACAGGGTGCTGGCTTGAAAACAACCAACGGAACTTTTGACCTTGCTTTGCTCAGGCTTGTTCTCCCAATTACAAGCAATGCACAACAGCAGAAGTGCGCAAAGTGGGGGTCGTGGGGCCTCAGGGAGCCGAGGGCACGTTGGCATTATTTCAGATATTTTACTAGCAACTTCCCAAGCAAGCCATCTTCAATACACTGCACTGCAGGCTTTACAGCATTGGGCGCGTTCAGTAGCGCCTCCATTGCCTCCGAACGGAGTGACTCGAGTCGGAGTCCTACTGAACCTACTGAACGGCAAAAAAACCCGCGGCTCCAAACCCGCTTCTGCACAGTTTCTGCTTCCTCCCCTGTGCCAGACGGTCTCCGAATAAACTGGAAGCAGGCGATGGCGAGCACGATCGCTTCTATTTGACGCCGGTATTGAAGAAGCCTTGACAAGGTCGTTGAAGAAAAAGCGGGTGACTGTACATATCAGTGCTGCTGTTCGAAGTGATGCAACGCGATCGAGCCCTTCGCTTGGCGGTGCAAAGGCAGCTACTGTTATAAAAGGCGACAAAAAACGTCGTCGGCACACGCAAAATAGAGAGCTCGGTGAATCTACGCCGCCGGTTGCGATACTTTTATACAGCCATACATTGTTCTGCCCTTCGTAACGAACTTCCTATAAAATGTATTCGTATACACAAGGGAAGTTCAGCCGTGCTCGGTTGGTCAGGAACTGAAAGCAAGTGCTTGTGTGCCCTCTTCTAGCACTTCGTCGTCTCCCGCCTAACGCTTTCGAAATTTTTTGTTCACATTTGAAAAGGAAGATTTTGTGACAATATACTATAGCAAATTTTTTTTGAGAAATGGTCAACTGAATAGAGGAAGGAACCATTAGGCCAGTTTAGCTTTACCTTGCTTCCATCCCTTCTGGTGAAAAAACCCGAGATTTGGAGGCGAACCCTAGCAGCAGGCTGTTGAAGGCTTCCACGTAGTACGTCTGAGTTCCGGGGGACAGGTGCTGGATATCCTTGAGAAGCCGCGGGCTTGCAACGATACTCCTGAGCTTTTCGTAAGCTGGTGTACCTGAAATATGTAGAGAGCGTGACAGTGTTAACCCGAACAAGTTGTTGCCGGCTTTTCTCAGACCTGAAAGGTTCTCATAGGAACTAATAGTGCAGCGAAAGCTGCTCATTAGGGGCAATAAGTTAGGCAGCAAAACTGACCGCTTTTCAATACCCTGTTTGAGGAAAACATGGAAAAGCACGGATGCCATGTTTGTGCTTACTGTGTTCTGCAGTGTACATATACAGCTATGTGACATCATCAAGGCATGTCCATTCTCCCTCTCCTCACCCCACCACATCAGAATCGCAGCACGGCTATGGTGAACAATGAACAAAATAGTTAACTCACCGACAGCTAGCCAAGCGCGATCGGAGAGCGGCTGGTGCAGGCACTCGTGGTAGGGTCCGTCGTGGCCGTCATGCGTGTTGACCACGTGGTTGAGGAGGCTCATCCACATGCTTACCATGAGTGGGCCATTTCCTTCCCGCAGTGCAGCACAGTGGTACAGGTGGTTGTTTACCGGCTGCACCCACACCTCCAGATCCTTGCAAGGGCCACTCCGGCTTGCTGCGAGGAGCTTCTTCACGCCTTGGAAAGGGGGCATCTGTTATCCACAGCATGTAGGAACCCAGTAGGCAAACAACAATGCGCACAACAAACCTTTGGAGATGTGCCACGTGTCGAAGTAGTGCTTTGTGCCACTCTCCATGGTCCTCATGTGGCACTCCACACCTGGGTGGCGGTCTGCAGAAGAGGGATTGCGTGGTAGAGAGCCCAAGAGCATAGGCAGATTCGAAATTCTTCTGGTAAATTTTATATACCTGACATGAAAGAGGCAATGGTGAAGCCTTGATCCTTGAGCTTGGCAAGGCCGCGGAGGAAGGCCACCTTCTCCATGGCGTTGCTCGAGGGCACTTCAGCTGTCTGATTGCAATATGTATACATTTAATGGTTCAGCAGTCGCTGTCAATGCCATATCTGATGTTGTCAGCTGCATCAACCGGCAAAGACAGAAGGTCTGTCGTGTCTACCACTCTCTTTGGTTCACCCATAAATGCTCATTGCACTGACTAAATACATTTAAACTATACAATTTAACAAAAGATGAGGGATTGTAAATAAGAGATATATCAGTCCTACAGTAACCACTTTTGCCTTGGTTAGTAAATCTTACCTCACGAACTTGCACTTGCTCAATGTGGATCAGCTTCTTGGTGCTTGCCTCATGGAAGGTGTATGTGCAGTACTTGGCGCAGAACCCCGGAGAGTCGCAGCGGCCATCGCCAGCCAGATCAAGGTTCTTGCCTCGTAGTTCTTCCAAGAGCTCGCTGTTGCGTCGTTCGTACACCTGGCAAGCAATAATGGCATTTAAGTGGGTAAGACTGTCATTTCATTTTCAGAACCGCTTTCAGTACTAGCTGACCTGCTTCACCACAGGCAGCAGGTAACCACTCTGGTAGTAGTAGTACATGCGCTCCGTGATCATCGCAATGTTAAGTGACTCGAGCACCCTGAAGGTAGTCGCGACCTGGGCACCTGAAAAGAGAATGCCGGCACAAAAGAGAACATTTCCTGCTCCTTTGCCCCCCAGCATCGGTTGACTCCTCCACTTTCTCATGTGCTTGTTCTCACAGGTGCTTGTCACTGTCAGCAGACTGCCTTTCACTACAGTGGTGTTGCGGCAAAGGGCAAGACACGTGTGGCACACCCGGAAGAGCTCCAGGAGCTGCCCCTCAAAAACAATGTACTTGCCCTCTTTCTGGGGTGGCACCTCTTCACGGTCCTGTTGATCACTAGAAATGTAAATTCAACTTTAATACACACTGGAATTTTTCGAAAACTGTTACCTCAGGAAGCTCTCATTTGCAGAGAGCACGTAGGAGCTGTCGGGTTCACCAGGCGCATCATAGTCGTCCTCCGTGTCATCGTCTTCAATGTAAGGATATTTGAAGTGATTAGGAGCTGGCATAGCATTAGTATGGGAAACACTGCTGAGACAGTGGTCTTCTGACAGATTTTTTTTCCAATGCTTCATTTTTGCCCAGCTATCATCTCAGACCAGTCACACCAGCAAAGTAACCGGGATGCTTAGCCTTCTTTAAACAAATTTCTGTGTAAACACCTCCGGTGAAGTAGCCCCTTCTCGCATTGTATGAGCCATGCGGAACTCCTCACCCAGGCCCACGTCGCTCGCAGCTTGAAAGCAGAGGTCTGAGCCCTCTTCCATGTCGGAACTTGTTTCACTGTCCGAGTCACTGGAGTCATCTGACATGTCCTCCAGCCCATCGTTGTTCTCTGCGTACCAAGGCATATTCGGCTCATCGCCAGAACTTACCTGCTCTGCACTTTGGTCGTCCTCAGATGGTTTGGGTGTGGAGCTGCGACGGTTAGCGACTTCACTGGTGGGCTCGTCCGGGGCTCCAAAGCCGGGGGCCGTGCTGGGGATTGGCGATGGCAGCCGAGCCTTGGTAGCTGTCGCAGGTTCGACTGGTCTGGGCGCTCCTGGGGACCCTGCATCTGGTTGTGGTGCGAGCACAGCGGCGTTGCACCCTTGGTCGACCGATGACGCTAGAGATGCAATACATAATGCAAGCTTAGTATGAAGTCTACAGAAAAGACTGTCAACATGCTGATGCATTGCCAAAATAATTAAATTAATTAGATACTCTGTCATACTCACACACTGGTGTCAGAGGGTCAACAGTGGCCGTTCCTGTAGCGCCTGTCGTGCCGGGGACTGGCAACAGCACCCGAGCCTTGGTAGCTGTGGCAGGTTCGACTGGTCTGGGCGCTCCTGGGGACCCTGCATTTGGTTGTGGTGCGAGCACAGCGGCGTTGCACCCTTGGTCGACCGATGACGCTAGAGATGCAATACATAATGCAAGCTTAGTATGAAGTCTACAGAAAAGGCTGTCAACATGCTGATGCATTGCCAAAATAATTAAGTTAATTAAATACTCTGTCATACTCACACACTAGTGTCACACAATCAACGGTGCCAATTCCTGTAGTGTCCGTCTGTGTGCCAACGGTTGCACGAGGGGCAGAACACCGGGAGCAGTAAGCCTACAACACAATGCAAGGGAGGCTGAGTGCAATATAATGCTCATGCACACAGAGTCGACTCTATTTGGGTCAGCTGAGAAGTTGAGCAACCTACAGAAAAGTAAACATTTGCAGCTGCTGTCTGTGTGCCTGATGCATATAAAAATCTGCTCTCAAAATCAATGAAAGGGTTGAATGGCCACAGTAAAAAATGTCACCAGAATGGTACAAAGGCTTCGTACATCTGGTCCAGCTCCTTGACTAGCATCGCAGGATCCATGTGCAGCCGCTTGCCCTTGCCACGCTTCTGCCGGTTGCTGCGCGCAAGATAATTGTAGTAGAACATGCAGCTTGCACCCAATATACATTGCACACTGGGAAGCGGTAGAAAACTCACTGAAATGGAGCCTCCAGCAGGGCTGTCACTGCTAGACGCAGCTGCTAGCCTTTTCAGTTTTGATCCCCTTGGCAGCTGGTTGGAATACATATAAAAGAAGATGTATTGATGTATTATTGATATTTCGTTTAGTGGAGAATCTGGTTGCCACAGAAGGCCACTGATGGTAAGCTGTGTTTGCAACTTCTTCCTTATGTAAAAGTTACGCAGTGAACCTCAGTTAGCAGCGTTACAACGATTTGCAGTTGCACGCACAACAGTTTGAAAAAGCGACAATGTAATACTAGAAGCTCTATCATAGCAAAGTAGACAATGAAGTTTGACTGAGTCACTTACCAATGATGTTGCACTTGCTGCTGTTGCCGTCGGTAAGAACAGCGTAGGGATCGCCCCGCGTCTCAGTTGCAGACGTCCCGTGACCTTTGTGCGCGTCTTGAAAGCATCCGGAGCGAAATGTCGCGAGCATACCCGAAGAACTGTGTCGCTAGACAAACCCCCGATTGCCTCCAACCAGGTAGCTCTCAAATGATCTGGGACAGCATGGCTGCTGATGCACTCGGCATCGCGATCACTAGGCTTGCAGCAACTGACGGAACAGCGCCGTCGCTTTACGGAAACCGACATCGCCGCCGCTTTACAAAAACCAACATCTCAAAAAAAAAAAAAAATATTGGCACTGGCGCGCACCACCAAACAGATTAAAGATGGGGTAAACGGGACACACGAATCACGCAAAGAGCAGAAAAACAAAAAAAAAACCTGGCACCCCGCGCAACTTCCTAAGTACTTACGATGACTAACTAACACAAGCAACAAGCTCTCTTCAGGAGGTCTTCACATATAAACGCGATAAAACTATAAAACCACCCGAGGTACACGACGTACGCGAGACGCGTTACGAAACGGCGACCATGACAGAAAACAAAATGGCGAAGCTTCTGTTTGTTCCGATATCCGAACGGAAGTTACGATTTTGTAGAACGTTTGGAAACAATTACGACGTTCATTCAATGGACTGTTTCTTAAACCTAAAAGTATGTAATTCAACAGGCGATTTCAAAAAATCACGAAGATTTTAAAACCAACATCTAAGCTGTCACTCATTCTATTGGCCAATGAGAAGCTGAGTTGAATGACCATCACTACCAATGAGAAGCCGAGCTGAATGACCATGGAATTTGCGCGCAAAACTTCAAATAAATCTCTCGCCGTCAATATTGCTCTAAAAAATTTTTTTTTTCGCGTAAAATTCATTTTTTGACACGCGTGTCCCAACCAGACTGTTTAAAAAAAACTTTTTTTTTCTTTTCAGGGGCCCTTTAAAGATTCCCGGCAAACCGAGAAAGGTAGAAATAGTCAAAAGTAGGTTCCCTCTACCTTTTTCTTTCTAATACTAAAATAACGGAGAAAGCGAGGCTGTCATAAGGATGTAACTCCGCTTACAACAATAGATGTGCACGGAGTTTCCGAGAAAACAGAAACGTGTTTTTCGGCCCGGTACGCATCGTAGACTGTACAAACTCTGTGAGAATGTGACGCTAGCGGTTGGGATAGAATGCGCAGATTTCGGAACGTGATGTTACCTGAATAAAAAAATAATTGAGATAAACCACCTTTCTCTAGGATGTCCACCTAAACCAAATTTCGTCAAAACAAAAATTGACATTGTGGGAGCCTGTAGCATTTATTTTAACGCAGCAAACTTGTCGCAAGAAAAAAAAAAAAAAAACCTAAATTCCTTGCTCACGAGTGTTTTTAACTGATATAAATTGAATGAGGGTTCACAATGTCATTTTTGTTTTGACGATATTAGGCTTAGGTGGGCGTTGGCTCATAGGGAAATTGGGTTATTTCCAATTATCTTTCAATCCAGGCAGCGTCATCTCAAAACTTTATGCTTCATCCCAAGCGCAAGATTCACATTCTCACGGAGTTTGAGCTTTCTGCATGGCATAATTTATTTACCCGGGTCAATAAACGCGGCTTTTTTTCTCGGGAACTCCCTTCCCTGTACTTAGACATCTGCGACGTTCAATGACAGCGTGTGTCTACAACGCGCAAAGCATGTAACTAGGACTGTTTGACTGTCTTGTACGCGTCACTAGAAAAAAAATCAATCAATTACCATTACGATTACCCATGGCTAAACATATTTTTAGGTTACTTGATTACTAGAGAAGAACAGTGATTGGCCATTACTTGAAAATGTTGCCGTTACTTTTTATTTCACTTCAGATGTTGAGAACTACAAAATTTTCCACAGTTTTGAAATATAAGAACTAGGACACAGGACGAGCGATAACTTGCAACTGGATGGCTTATTGAAAATTTCACTGAGAAAGCATATCACGCGCGCACACATGTGGCACAACGTTACAGCTATTTAGATTAATAAAGACCACACAGCGTCCACACGAAAAACGACAATCTTATCTACATGGCTAAAGGCGGCAATAGAAACAACGTTGTAATGGTACATGCATCAACATGCAGCTTCATGACATAATAGAATGGGCGCAGATATATCATTAAAAGATTAAAAACAATCTGCATCGAGTAAACAGTCTGTACTCTACGCAACCAAAAATTATAAAAACTAATCCCTACCGATAAAATCGTGCTCTATTTCCATTAAATGTACAGGTGCATGACATAAATGTACATGACATAAATGTACGACGCTAATACACGAGTCTTTGTCACATTCGTATATCAGAGCCACTTCTAGCGTCTCCCTTTCCAATCTTCCTTTTCTACGCCCCGCCACTTTCACGCCGTTCAATGTAGGTTAACACCCACAAGCTTCGCAGGGCATCGGCAGGTGTGAACCAAAACTGTTGATAAGTGAGGCTGCGTGTGTCTCTAGTTGTCACTAAGACAGCGTCCGGTTTGCCATATTGACACCTACCACAGCTCAAAAAGATCATATAAACTCCTTCAGGGACACAGGGAACAAACTGGTTACCACGCTTCTTACCACAAACCGCCAACTTGACCATTGGTCCGCGGATCATTGCATATATATGTGACAACTTGCAAGGAGCTGTGAAGACGACGTCCACACAGAGTTTGGCAGGTATCATTTTCAGGTTGTTCGATACTTTATGCTCATAAGGCACGACTTCAAATTTTTTTTTTAACGTTTCTTGGGTGCAGTGCTTTGGATTTTCAACTCCTCAAGAAGGGATTCCTCTACTCCCACGAGAACAAACGGTGGAAACCCTGACTGTTTCCGGCGTAACGCCTGAAGGTCGAAACTCTCGCGAAGGATGTGCGGGCAAGATTTCAGAAGTGCCGACCGTAGGCATAACGAAGCGATGTCTTTCTTAATCAACTTCGGATGGGGTGAGTCGTAAGGCAATACGACCTTTTTCGTCCGTGGATTATACATCGAGCACACATGTTCAGCCGAGTTGAACCAAACTGGACATCTAAAAACTGTAAGAAAACGTCCACCGGAAGATCCAGGGCCAACATCAAACGGTTGAATCAGCTGCTAAAACATTTAAAATAAACTGAGCTAGCGAGTCCAAGAGTTCGCTTGACTGAGTACTAAGGAAGACGATAAAATCATCAACATATATGCATATCTTTACAATATAAACGTCGACTGTTGCAACTGAAATCAAGCGGTCAACCTTCACTAGAATTATTTCACATAGCACCGGAGCCACACATAAACAAATGCAAATGCCGCGCTTTTAAACGTACTTTTTGTCCATAAAGAAAACAATTTTGTGAAACGGGTCTTTCAAACTGTTCATTTTTAAATTAAGATCACCGAATTACAAACTACTTGTCTTTTTAATCCACCAATTTTGGTGAAGCATCCTTCTAACGTTCGATGTTGCCTTGATAGGAAATTTTTAGAAACGAGGAGACCCATTATAACAGAAAGGGGGAAATTGTAACGGTTGCAAGTAATTTTGGTGCTTCCAAAATTAATCACATATTACTCCTGTGATTACTAACTCGTAAAAGGAATGAAATTATTACCAAAATACTCCAAAAATAAATAGATTACGATTAATTTGATTGCTTGTATCGTTCACGTCTGGACAGCCATGACCTCTCATACGTCCCTAACTCATTTATAGCTCATTAACTATAGATGCATAGGTCTACTTACCATTTAACAGCTTTCTAGGGACATATCATGGTAAGCAAGATCAAGATTGGGCGATGCCGACCACTGATCTCAATTGTAGTAGGCCGGATCGCGGACCGCGGCCTCGGCAGCTGGGGCCGAGTGTCGCCACCGGGGGCCATTGATTGAAACCAGCCAATGCGTGGGACTCTATGGGAAAAAGAAGAACCAAGTGCCGTTTCCCAGCTTTCTAAGCTGTTGTCGGCACTGAAGCTTTTTGGCTGCTTTTCGACAAGGCGATCAAATAGCTTGCGTACAAACATTAAAACTGACAGCCCTCGCAGTTCTTATAAATAAATATTTTGTGGTCGAGAGTACTCCGCTGGGCGACAAATGTCGAGCAGCTCAATGAGGCGAGAGTTACCTAGAGTTACTGCGGAGTCGGTGGCGGTTTCGTTGAGTTGGGTTTAGCAGACGGCAAGCTCGAAGGCTTTGCTACGCGGAATTCGCTCACTCCCGGAAAACCGCTGTCGAAATGGAACTTTTTTGTCATTCATCAACTTCTGGGCTTCAATAAGGACGGTCTTATTGACGGCCAGTTCCTTTGTTTACTCCCGTTACGATAGCAAGCTTGCTAGCTCAGCCGTAGGCGCTACGGTACGTTTGATTTTTTTTTTAATCGGCGTTCAAACGTTTGACAAATACCGATTATATCTCCAAACACCCAACATTAGGAACGCAGCACACCATAAAATACTCGCCTCCGAGCACAGCGTACATACTTCTATATTCCTACTTTTGTGCGTTTCTCCCATAGGCTTGCGTGTATTGCCTGGTGTCAAGCAATGGCCGCCGGTGGCGACACCGACGGGCTCCCGATCCGCGATCCAGCTACACTACAATAGAGATCATTGATGTCGACACAAACACGCAACAAGAGCTCAAACATAAAGACGTGAACGAAGGGGACCGTGAAGGTCATATCTATGATACTGTAAAACGTCCGTGTACAAATCGTGCACTTCGGTTATTGTTAGCTACTGTACATTATTTTTGACGCACTTTAATCGCACTTTAATCGCCAGACAACAAGAATCGTATTGGAATGTAAAAAAAAGGTCGTACGATTTGAAACGGCGTTGTAGCATCGAGTAAAATCGAGTCCTAATGCGAATCCACAAACCACCTTCATCATTCCACTTCGGATTCTCCGTCATTACTGAGCTAATTTTTTCGCTGCAAGTGTGAACCGGCACACGAATTACGCGCGATGTGCCATCCTTTGGCCATTTGGCCATTTTGTTTTAATGCGAAAGCATTAACTGCCCCATGTAACGGAGCTGGC